TTATGTATTTTTTTATTAATTGTTGCTGACAAAGACTAAAAATTGTACAAATATTGTATCCGTACAAAATTAACATCCTTATTTGCTCGTTTTACTAGCTATTTATTTCTTTTCATTGCTTTATCTTCCGAAACTTTACATCTCAATTAATTAAATTAACATTGACTGACATTTTTGTAACTTTTACTTGAACTTTTGATACATCAAAATTGCAAAAACTGTGACAAGCAATAAATCAAATTCAGGAATTCTATTCGGCTCGACAGCTGGTAAGCTCGGGACAGCCTATATCGTACAGGAAGCATCTAATCGATCCGCGCAACAATATACAGTAATTTTTTAACGATCTCTAATTTCATCGATCATCCATCATAGAAACATCATGTAATCCTTTCCCAAACACATCCGACGTCCAGGTCGGGGCAAAAGCCCTCGTGCAAATCGAGCATGGCCGACGGAATTACGACGGATTGATCGACAGGGATAGGAGGAAGCGCCACGACTTTGAACCGCGGGAATCTAGAACGAGTACATCCCGCATTCGTTCGATGCGCGCACGTCCGTAATCGACGCGATACGCGGCGGGTATTAGCGCCTATTAATGATTAATTGATCGGTGCCAGGAGGCCCCGCTTCACCGCACTCGTATGACGGTGCTGCGCGCCAGTTCGAGCCGACGAGAACGGGGGAGGTCGACTCAGGTCAGATCATGCCTCGCGCCGAATCGTTAGAAAGTCCACGCTCTGGGTCTCGCTGTGCCGCGCCATGCCATGCCACGCCGCGCCGCGCCGCGCCACGCCGCTGCGTAGCACGCTTCGAGTTAAGAAGAGATACCCATCGATCCATCGACTCGATGACTCGTCTCTCGATATTGCAAAGCTCGCCTCGCTCGACGTGCTCGCGTTGTTAGCACGAGCGAGCACCTTGAAAAGGATTCGCCGTAGCCGGGAAAACTCTTGCGCGATATCTCAGATCTTAGAAGGACCTTAGAAGGAGACCTCCTATCCTCGTCTATATCCTCGATACACGCGCGAGCGTGACTCTAAATGACGCGATTCTAAATTTTCCCTCTTGTCGATGAGCGGCTGGTGGTAATACGCGATTTATCATGATTTATCGGGCACAATTTGTGCGACGAGAGAAACGTGATAATTCTTAAATATTCGGGAACTGAAAAACTGTATGATTAAAGCATGATAGCGAATGGGTAAAATTTAATGAAGCTTTACAGTTGGGCTCGAACGATTTATGATTGAGAAAAGGTAAATAGTTCTTTAAAAATATTTTGAGTCATCTGATCGAAAACTTGGAAATTTTTAGAGTTTCAGATATTCCTAAACTGATTGATGAAACTTAAACGACATGTGGATGCGATCGGAAGGACTCGCATGAGGACACACATGCGTGGGATGTAAACACGTGATATTCTTCATGCATACTATAATAGAAGACAAGCCGAATTGATCCACATTCATGATTTTTAATAATCCAGAATAAAATAATTTTATGTCAGTTCCAGCATGAAGGCGCGTTTATATACAAAAATTGCTTTGTGAGAATCCTTCGAAATCACGTTTTTATCACATGATGTTCTTCTCATTATCACAAAGTATATTTATATATCAATCATCGTCTCGCAATCAACAACTCGTAATTCTAAACAGGTATACAGGTATATAGGTATACACAATTACTTTCATTCTTCATGTTTGCATGATGCATAATATTTTGCATATCATCGAAAGTTTCACTGAAATTCCGTTGACGATAATATTAAGTAATGGAGTTGTAAAAACTAACAAAGTTTCAATCTACTAAACTAAAAATTAAATAAATATTTATTAATGCAATTATATAAATGAATAGTTATGCACTCAAACTTTTTTTAAACAAATTTATATATGAATTTATGATTTTATATTTTATGACTTTCATAATGAGGATAGTGTCACGCTAGATCGATTAATAAGGTAAAACTGCTTACATAATCAGTAGTGGCGTGTAATTGCCCAAGCTAATCTAACTAAAATATTCATTATAATTAGAGATTAGGTCAATTGCTTCTAACTTCTCTCGTCATGAAAATAAATAATCAAAGTATTAATCGAGCAATAATTATTCTTATTTTTCCAAGATAGTTTCGCGTAGTTGGCTTAAACGAAAGTGAATGCAGTAATATGATATAGATAGATAGTAGATATAGATAAGAAATCGACCGCCATAATTCGAGCTGATATATGAAAGGATCGCTCGTGCCATTGATCGATATCCTTTGTAAGATTAGAATCTCGATGCCATAATTCTAAGATAATTCATCCGTATCAGTGTCTTATTTGCCAAGTCGAACATCGAGACTAAAAATTTCTCACACTTCCAAATTCACTACATGAATAAAACGACGTATGTATAAGTTGTAAATGACGATCGCGAGATCATCACTTGCAAAAGATATTACAGCCCTACTTTATAAATCTTAGCCATTTGTTTAGGTTTCACCTTTATGCGTTTTAATGATCCGATATTGCGTACTCGCGTGATCATTATTGCATTCATTGACTATTGCGAAGAGAGGACTAGAAATTTATTCGTGTCTGCATTCGCGTTAAATCGGATATTTATAATCGAATAAACGTATAAATTGCCACATTAATTATCGCGATACGTTTTTTTTTTTTTTTTTACGTTATTACATATATAATATATAAAAATCTATTACAAATATACATGACGTGACTGATTTTATATTACAAGATACGTTTTTTTTTTTTTAATATACCGATCGCATCGAATTCACTTACGCAGAAATTGTCAGAGATTATTTCCCTGTACGTATTTATTACAACGAGCGAGGAACGACAGTGCCAGGGTTCCTCTCGAACGTTGATTCTCGAGAAATGTAGCGGGGTCCCCGGAGGCATGTCAGTTTCGATTATCCTCGGCTATCGTTAGGCCCCGTTCAGCGCGTGCTCGCTCGCGCGCGAGCGCAAGTCGCGGTCCTCGAAACGTCAGACTGTCGGGGCCGTAAATTTTTTCGCGGGCGCCCACCTCTCGTCATGCATATTCATGAATACTCGAATGTAATCGAACGCCGAGCCGCGGCGTAGAAGGAGACGGCGGGGTCCTCGAGCGCTTCGATCAGCCGTCGACTCGATTCAAGAATGACGAGGGCCAACCACGAGAGCGTATACGGATAAGAGGCTCAAGGACCGCTGCTCCTCCTGGTTGAGTCTCGCCGGCGGAAGGGACGTGCACTTTATGCGAACCCTGAGACGACACGCACGACACCGATTTTTATCTCGCGAAGGATACCACGCGCGCGCGTGCAAAGAGCGTGTGACACGAGCACAACGCGACGCGATGGCATTCCCGAAACGGTTTACGGTATCGCGATGCCGATCGAACGTAATTTTCGGACAACTCCGATACCGATACCGGATACGTCCGCGGCGGCGAACCGGCGGTCGTCTCGTTAAGGTAAGTATATCGATGTCCGCGCGGCCATCGAGCATCGATGTGCAAAAACTTCTTCGGGAAAGCCCGTTATCGACGCCACCATCCATCTTAATTATCGCGGGATACTCATTAGGGTCCACGAGAGAGCCGCTGCGACGCGGCGGCGAGTCTTCATTTCTTTCGTTGCGAAATAACTTCCCAAAGTGAAGTGAGAGGAAATTGCGACTCGTGACACGGATGAGGAACTTTTCTTACCGCGCGGTTTCTGGAGTCACGGTTTCTTGCTCTCTGTCAGGTGTGAGTGAACGATGTGACAGCCGGAGGAATAACTTCTGTTACGGAGCCGGAGCGAGGAGTGGCGCGGGGTTTGAGAGCTCCGCTCCGTGACACCGCCGCGATCCGCGAAGTGGAAGATCGTATCGCGTACGTGCGAGATATAAGCGTGTCGGGTTATCTGTAATTAATCAATTTGCGTCTACTAGGCAGCAGCCCGATAATTACGGCTCTCCGTTTTATCGCGAATTATGAAACCATTCATCGCGCGATTGCGATTCCCGATGATCGCGCGCGAGCGAGGACGGGATCCACCCGTGGAAAGTAGACCGCGCCCCAGTTCCACGACGAAAGGTCTCGATCGCCACTGAGCGAAACAACGCGAGCCTAAACGGAGGAGAAACGAGGGAAAACGCTTAAGCCGAATAGGCTGGATGAGTGTGATCGTGGATAATTTCAGTGGACACTCGAAAACGAATGACCACGCCCACGACTTCGCGGAGATAGCGAATGTTAAGTGGTCCGGTAAAAACTATCATTGTCGGATCATGTTTGCGGGCGTCTGTTTCGCCTCGGGGCTGGAGAAAGAGAGAGAGGCGAGGAGAAGAGAAAAAGAGAGAAGTAACGAGACGAAGGAAGGGAGGAGAAAGTATAGATGCTACAAACTAGAGAGGGGTGGAGGATCAACGCTAGCTTCGAGGGGGTCATTATAGAACTTTCCTAGCTGGCGCGCCGTCTCTCCCTACTCGCTAATGCCAGACTGTCTGGATTGACTGATGTCAGGTCATTCAAAGCCTTCTAGATCGCCTCGTTGCCTCACTAACATAGAAGTCGGGAAGATATTGCGCGATGGATGACAGCGTGCCCCATTACAGTGTTGGCTTTCAAAAGGCATTAAAAATGTTAGCTACGTTCAATGCGACTCTTGCAACAATTTAACCGAATCAAAACATCCATTATATTTCTTTTCTTCACTTCGATAAATAAGCGGATTCTCATATATGGCCATTAATAAATCGTCGAAGGAGTTTTTATAGTTTTCTCTCATTTTTCTAAATCTACAAAAATATATTTTATAGAATAAAATTATCGTGGAGAAATCTAGGAAAACATTGGTCCCCAATGACAATAGAAAATCGTTGTGCCTTAACAAAAGCATTAAAATTCGCTCGACACGCATGATCGATCGCACCGATAATGACGTAAATGCATCACTGGCGATTTTTTTCTCGCAGAGAACCGCATCGCGGGAAAGAAAAATTTCCTTGACTCACCTGTGCATACTCGGCGCAAATATCAATCGACGAGACATAATTAACAACGTCCTCGATGGTCCAGCGATTCACAGCTTGCCCGTCGCCACAAGGTATGTGACCATAAAGAGTCGGACATCTGACCGGCGGAGGTGTGGTTGGTCTCGCGATGGGTTTCGGTTTAGGAGACACGCTTTCCGATCTCCTTGTTTCCGGCCTTTGCCGTTTGCGAGGTGCAAAGCCGCCGGGACTCGAAAGATCCAAGGGACTAGTCACCCCCGCATCTCTTTTATTTGCGCCTGTGTTCCAGAAACATAACTGTTTAATCTTCTTTGAGGCTGATTAATATTAATACATTATATATAACAATATAAAGCACAAATTGCTTTGAAAGATCTATGAAAGATCTGTTTATTTACAAAAAAATCGTAGTGTCCATTGCTTTTAAATATTAAAAAGTTTAAAACTCGCGTAAAAAAATGCAAAGTTTCTGCGAGCGAAGGGTAATTGTAATTTCTGTTTTCAACTAGCAAAGTAATATCTATTTATTTCTTGAAGATTTCTTAAGACGTGTAATGTACTTCCTATAACACTTGCCTTTAAGATATGTCTCCAATTCTGCAGCGCTTTGGGCCGCATTGGCAGTTCGCACCATGTGCAAAAGAGCTTGGGTGGATGACATATCAATCATAGGCGGAAACACGGGGTTGCCGAAGAGGCTATCCTGCTTTTGCTCCTTTGGATCTTTGTTGGAGAGCGGTGAGGTCGTTGGGACAGTCGACGATTGCGGAGCCCCTAATGGCGCCATCAGACCGACGAACGGCGTTGCTGCGGTCTTGAAGGCCGGAAACCTCGGGTCTAAACCCGGAGGATAACCGTTTCTTGGCGTGCTAAAGTAACTGAAGAAATTATCAATCGGCATTAATCGCTAATCTTTCTTATTACATCCATAAAGAAAACATTCTAAAATACACATAGCTATTATCGCCATTACATTTCAAATTTCTCAAGCTAGATTTGAGAATATATCTATCTTTCATCAAATTGAGAAAATATTACTATCATAATAAAGATATATACAACATAAACGATTGTGATTTTTAATATCTCAAAATAACTTGTCAAACAAGAATATATATATATATATATATATATATATACTCCTCTTTTATGTAGATATAATTGATCATCATAGAGACGATTAAATTTAATGACACGCAAATAGACAAGCAATAGTAAATTAAAACGTGAAACTTCTTCAAATATTAAGGATCACATTGTTAGAATTTGTGTTTAACACTTAATTGAACAATTAAGTAATTATCTGATCTATTTCTAACCTAAATTCTACAACCAGAAAGTACAAAGTTAGAAGTCAACGTACGACACGACAACCGGTTTCATGCGAGAGTACGTTAAGTTTCTTAAGTACTCTCTGCGTCTTACGAATCTTAATCACGCGAATCATCTATTTGCAGCCTTCAGGTCTTAATTTTTTTTTACAACGTCTTGCAGTCTTGGTCAATCGACGAAAGTCAATATACTCGCATGTCACGATCCAACAAAAATATTCAAAGACATTTGCGAAATCCTCTTTTCTTAATCATACAAGAATTTAAAGACAAATTTTATGACACAGAACCAATAAGAAATAAGCAGTATCTGTACATCAATATTTAATTGGCATGTCGATGTACAACATATACATTTAAATCCAAAAAATAATGTTCACGTTCACGTAATGTATACTTTTTCATTATATATAATAATAATAATAATTCCGTATTCTATTTATACAAAGATTATAATTCTACTGCGAAAGATCAAAAAAAGTGATCGATAAAATAAAATAGACGTACTCGTTAGGATTGGCGTTGTTGTATTTGGCGGCGAGACTTCTCATGAAATCACTATAGTTTCGCCCCATCATCTGTTCCATGTGCTTGAGATGATGGGGTGGTGGTGGACCCTCGGGTCCTCCCAAGGGCGTAGCATTTGGTGGCGTCCCGGGGTGACTCGACGAAGAAGGCGTCACGCTCCTCGACGACGTCGAGTTATTATCAGGCGTGAGTCGTTCCGTTTTAACCTGTAATGCGACAGGAGTACCCCTTACTTTAAACGAGACCTCACCACGTGCAACCGGATGCAATAACAAAAAGGAGAACGCGGAGCAATTAAACGGTAATAAAGAGAACGGAGTATAAACGGAAGTATTAATTAGCAAGCAGGAGCGGCGGGTGCAATAAAGGTACGTTTAGCGCTACTCCATTTAACGCTGGAAAGGATAGACAAAGTGATAATACTATTATGTACAATTCTTTTTTATTAAGTGAATTCATTAAAAAAATTAGCTCAAGATATACAAGTAAGTCTTTATTTTAATCGTAACATTCTTTAGAATATATATTCACATAAGCATCCCATTATTTCTTTCGTCATAAGAAATATCTTATTTCAATTTTTATTAATTTTTATTTTAAATTTTTAATTGTGAAAAAAAATTGTTAATTTTGTGCATATACTTGGACGATAAGTATAGTTAATAATATTTGGAACTTGAATATTTTCACATAAAACTGCTATTAGCATGATTCCGAGTTACTCATTTCATCTTATCCACAGTAATAACAAACTTATTATCTTTATTACCGTTGTGCTTTATGTGCTTCATGTTGAAGCACAGAAATACGCACAGAAATACGTCATTAAAAAAATATTTTAGCTGCAAACGAATAGCTTCGCTTAAAATTGAAAAAAATTGCTTTTTTAGACTTAAAAATATGCATTTTGAATGGAATAATTAACCAATCAGCAACTAATTACTTTCCATATTCCAACTACACACGTAGATGTGAATTATACATAATTAAATATAATAAAAATAATACAACATTAAATAATAAAAACAATAACATAGTAGTAGATTTTTATCGATGATAATTAGTAATAATTAATTATTAAAGCAGATCCTTATTCTACGATAAAGAAACTGCCTATTGTATCACCCACTTATTATCATACGCTTGATTTATCGTATGCACGATCGTTTAACATTAAAAAAAAAGCTTCATATGTTCATACGTGTAAAAAAAATTGTTCTGGCCTTTGCGAAACAGACGTCACCGCGTGAAATCACGCCTTTAACTTGAGGGACACTTATCGGCAGCTGCAGCCTGACGATACGTCTCTCGCTCGGGCGGTAGGAAATATCCCGGGTGCATTAATTCCCGAGAACAGATTGCATCTGAGATATGGTAATGAAGGCAACGCGTGGCGTAAGAGTTGATTCCTCTTCGGCCGGTGCGCGCCGTGACACTAAGAAGAACGAGAGTCGATTGGCGTAGAATAGGGTCCCCGAGAGCGCGCGGTCCGAAGACCGCAGCCGCTCTCGCAGAGGCCACGGTAAATCTCTTTCTCGCCTCCAGACCTCTTCCTGACAAGGGACCGCTTCAGACTCACGGCGCAGGCACGATCCCATAGATATATATATATATATATATATATGTTTCTCGAATGGATCTCGCTCGGCGCGACCGATGCGCGCAACCGGGCCTCGATAAAGAAAATATAGGCGTGACAGCTGCGCGAGGTAGCGAGAGAGTCTTGAAATTAAATCGATCGTCGATGAGATATTAGTTGTCGTTTGACAGTGGCTATGTAAAATAGACATCATTGAACAAGATAGTAATATAAATTGTTAGAGAATTGTCATCGGTATCAGTTTCCATGCATAAATGTTTTGGAGTCAATAAAGGAGTCTTTTGGTATAACAAAAGCGTCTTATAATAAAGAAATTAGACTATAGAACACGACAACTATTTTCCGTAGATATACCATAAACTCTTCATCACCGAATTATTCTTTCTTCTTTTCCTTTTTATTTTTTTTTTTTGTAATAAGCGAGAATTCGAGATTCTAAGCGAGAAAGAGATTAATCTTCTTCTACGCTTATTCATTATTCACTTTCTTAAATCGACTCCAGTAGATTCTGATTAGTTAATAAGTCAAGCTAGAGCCCACCACATCGCATACAGGATTAATTTCTCGAGTTACCACTATTCTTTAGAAGACCTTCCTACTCGCACAGCCTACAGATCTGAGCCATAAGAAATTCTTGCACGTCATGGACTACCTATTCTTTTTACCGATGATGATCAATTTTTTACCATCGCGGCTCTAAGCATTGCTAAGCAACCACCAAAGGCTCCTCTTTTTTACTTTTCTTTTTTTTTTTTAAGTCGTCAAGTCGTTTACAGAAGCGTCCTGCGGGTTGACGGATGTCAACGGCGGAATGACACTGCGGCTTTCGACGCGGTTGACATAGTTGCTGCATGGTTGGCTTTGAACGGGACTCTCCGTGTACACGTGTGTACGAGCTACCGCTCGAGCTACAGGAGCGATGGACTCTCGTCGAAGATATCTCTCGAGACTAGCGCACGTGTCCCAAAGTGAAGGTATGTGAACGCTCAAACACTCCACTTCATGGAAAAAGCCAAGCCAGGGATCTCTCGAAAAATTTATACGACAGATCTCGCGTCCCCACGGCAGCTCGTGTCCTTCTCGAGAAACGAAAAAAAGTGGAAAAAAAGAATAAATAAAAAATTCCGACTGACGGCCGTGAAAATTCAGTCACGCTGCGTCAATACGGTGAGGCGAGCGTCATGTGTTTGTGCTGACGTGCGTACAACGTTTCGTGTACCGTGTCAAAATTTTATTCCATTTCGTGGATTATTTCGAAAGCGATCGAAAGCGAATAAATACGACTCGAAAGGATGTGGATGTTACGTTTATAAAGAGAATTATCTCTAGCAAGAATACTGCATCATCTGCAAAGAAAGATTCTACTCACTTGAGTAGTGTCAAGACCATTTTGGTTCTGCCGCCTTCTACCCCGCGGAGGTCTGGGGGTTGCCGCACCGGACAGATGGGCGCCCTGAGGGCTTCCCCCCCTGGCGTCGACCGCTGTGTTCGCTGCCAGGGTGGCCCCGTCGCTGTTTTCCGTGTGCGTACCTAAATCAGCCGCCTCTCCACGATCGCCGCCACGTGGTCCCGTGCCCGCGGAGACGTTCTCGCCCGACACCTCACCTGAAAACGATAACATAAGGGGATGTATCAAATTTCAATCCGCTTCTAAAAGGTATTAAGGGCGCACGACTTTCTGGACCTTCGTTCCTAATACGTTTCTCATCCCTCTCAATCTTGTCGAATTAAGCGCGAAAGATTAAGCTTAGCGTATGGGAAATACAAGACGCGATGGCAAATTTAAAGCGCCGTTAAGAGATTTCAAGCGACAAAACTATCAGAACACACGCTCAACTCCAAATTCGGACCTTTAATGAATAAATTCACCATATTTCAACCGCATTCGTCTTCTCGGGATGGTTTAAATTTTGTAAACGAGGCGCTCCTCACGCTTCACATCGTAAACTTTTCTAACGTCGCACTGTGTAAACGACGTCTTTCGACACTGAAAATTTAAAACGAAATATGTTGAAGAAAGAGAGGAATAATCATATAGGACGCGATTACACACGATGGCGGCGCTTAGCCACCGGTACGGAAGATTTACGCTCAATAAATAGCCTGGCGCCCATTATCTTCTGCCTTGATCACAGAGACACGTATCTACCAACAAGGAGCGATCAAAAAACGGCGTAAAGACACGACAAACGAGAAGAACCGACGAGAAAAATCGAGAGGGTCACTGTCCACTGCGACTACCTAACGTATCCAATAAATTCTTGTCATCGTTAAACACGTGGAATTTTATGGAGGCAGTGACTCGTCCACACCGCCGAATTTACCGGCCGATACGATCGGCCGCGATTAATGCAACGATGGTACCAACAATGATGCTAACAATGTTGGGATCCGATGTTGGGATCCGCGATATCAGAGTTTCGTAGTTCTCTCCGCGTTGTATCTTATACGTCAGCATTTTTCTTACGACAAATGTCTCTTAGCGCGCGATTAGAATTCCAATATGATATTTCGTTAATTAACAATTATATTTAATGCAATGATTAGTAATTCTCCTCCGTATCGAAATATAAATATAATTTTCAGTTAAATGATTTGCTTGTCAGGATTTTTTGTCTGGATGCTACCGAAAGTATCCGCAATAACGAAGAACAAGTGTTAATCGTTCCCACACAACACAAGTGTCTTGGCAGTAAAGCCGACGGCATCGGAAGTACGCAAACGGACATTACGATGCATTTTTATAATGCGCAGAGTTAACACCTTCGACAGGCTCCGCTCGTCCGCTATCGCGCTATATTCCACAATCCGGTTGTGGAAGTGGCTTCGTGGAGCGTTGAGCGGAATACAGGCCGAGGGTAGCGATCGTAAAAGCCACTTCTATGACACTCACTGCCAAATGTCTTCATCATTTCGAGTTAAAATATTTACAGCCGCCCATAAAAATTCCATTAGGTACTATTTGCTAGTAGAAAAATCCTCCGTCCTCCAGAGGTGAGGCATTCGACGTACCTCACCATAAACGACGTCCAAATAGTTATAAAATTGGAGAGTATGCGAGCAACAAACATTGTGCGCATCGTTTTGTGACGAATGAGTCACTAACGAGAACGATACAACGGTACATTAAACGACGCGTTCGACAAGAGAGCTTCGAAGAGTATAACTTAATCAGTTTTAAATGAATTTCTTTAACGTCGTCGGGCCAATGATTTGTGAACTGTTAAACTTTTTAATAGTATCTTACTAATTATACAGTATAAAAAGGAGGGAATATTAAATATATGTTGATAAAAACACACAACTATCATTTAATGAAGTTATTGAAATCGTGGCATACTGGAAAATCTCAAATATTTCAAATATAAATTACTAATTAGAAATGAGGAGACAAATATTAAGCAAGTATTGTGTTTCAATATTTATCTTTTGAAGAAAAATTTTATAGTTATATTCTGCGTAACGAGATTTTTTTTTTTTTCTTCACATTTTCTCACGTTTTTTTGACGTTTTTTTTTACGTTGGCGGTAGCGCCTCGATGACACGTACGACAAACATTGTAACGACACCTCAAGAACTTCCAAGGCAGGGAGTCATTGTTTAAAGATCATTCGAGCGCGTTTTGTTGTCTAACTTCGGTTTGACGGCATTTACACAGTCGCGCAAAAATGATCTAAAGCGGCACTCGCGAGGTTAGTATTAAAATCCGAATTAGAAAAGACAAAGACATATAGAAGAAATCTCTGCATTTTCATTGCATTTTATATCGTACAATTTTATCACAAAATCTAAA